GAGTTCAGCTAGAGGTGTTGCTTTCAAGTAATATTCTGGATATAATTATAATTCTGCTCCAAAAAAGAGCTTTTAAGCACCCAGTATCCAAATTATTGCCCTGGTGAATTGCATTTTCTACAGGCATATTTGTACTCACATGTGTTGCTTTTAGAAAACCTGTGAATAAATATCCCACATTTAAAATATAGCATATTTATTTTATGAATATACATTTATAGTTCTTTGTTAGTTATAATATTTATTGATTATATTTAAAAAATATTCGTGCAACTTGTAATAATTATTTAAATTATGACCCCCTGTGGCTTATAACGCTAAAAATCGTACGCATACAAACGTAAGACATGGTTATATGATTTATGGCATAACGTTATTATGTGCATAACTTATGGAGGTTTAAAAAGTGTGGATGGCTTACTAGACATTCCTTAATAAATACGTATGGTCTTCGGCTGATTGATTACTTTTACTTACCTTTAAACAATGTATAATCAGTGCACAATATGTACGTTTGTTTTGTATACCTTATATTTGGTAATCCCTTTAAACGCCTAAGTCTTAAATGGCAAAGTTAAATTAATTTAAGAATGTGTTTTAAGGTTAATGTTTAATGATACATTAGTACAAAAAAAACAACAAAAATTGGCACTCTATTAGTTTAAAAATTATTTAAAAAAATATTTATATTTACATTTTTTATGTTGATGTTAATATAGGATGGGTGCAGACGGTGTTAGCTGTTGTGTGTGCTGTTTCAGCATTTCTCCTCATCTTAGTCATCTTTCTATGTTGGCGTCTTTACGTAATGAAGAAGCGACAGAAGTTTTTTGATGATCTTCAGAGCTCCCGAAAACTTTTATTAGAAAGCAAACCTACATTGAAAGCCGTTTCAATAAATCAAAATTCATATGGTGATGATTCATCACTACAAGATAATTTATCATCACTGACTTTTCAACAAGAGCCCCATTTTCCCCATTTAGAATTTTTGAAAAGCCAAGAAAACTACGATAGTCCATTTACAGATACGGAATGCGAAACAGATCTGGTTGATCCTAATACTCGTCCTAAAACTAGAATACATCAACTACAGTCAGAAGACTCAGACAGTTCGAGACCAGATACTGAAAGTAACTTGTCAGATACTAAAATCACCCATAAGAAGACTCCTGTTATTGAATTTAGCATAGTTTATGTGTCAAGTATAAATTCTTTAACCGTTCACATAATTCGGGTCGCTAATCTTCCAGTGAAATATCGTAAAAACTGCTCTTCATACGTAAAAGTATCATTGCTAGCTCGCAAAAAATCCTCACACAGCACTTCCGTATCTAAAAAATCCTTAAACCCAGAGTATGAGGAGAACTTTTCTTTTGAAGGTTATACTTTGAAAGAGTTAACCCAATTTACACTGAGACTGTCTGTCTACGTCAAGCTCTTTCATTCTTTCAAGAATCGACTAATTGGTGACTTATGGCTACCTTTGTCCCAGCTAGACCTAACGCCAGATGTCCCACAAATAATTTCAGAAAAGCTGTCTCCCCTCAAGACTTCGAGATCAGTAAGTATATTGGCTCCATAACTATTAAATATAATAAACCTTAAGGGTAACTTTCCTTCACGTGCTGTCTAAAATATTATAGAATGTCAGCTGCAATTCCTCAGTGTTGTAAGTGAAGCTGAATCACGTAGTTTTGTGATTGAACAGATGCACACACACATGCATATAAATATATATATATAAGCAGGTTCAATACGGTGGACTTTATCAACCATATAACATAGAGATCGAAGTAAATTCACAATAGGAGATGCCCATGCAGCGGAGTTGTTTTTTTTAGACAAGTCGAAACCAACAGAGGTATCTAGAAAAACTCTCTCCGAGTTCTATCTAAAATGGAAATGCAACTGATAACTTTTAAGAGTAACTCTGACAAAAAAAAAATCCCCGTCGAGAAGAACTGCAGATGCGTTAGACGTGTTGTGAGGAGTATCACGATCAACTGTGGACAAGATATGAGCATTTCTCTACAATGTTTGGGAAATATGAAATATCAGCCTTGGTAGTAAAGCCTTTCTTCACAAGATACTAACAACTGAAAGTACTAGAATCTGAAAGAATTTGGATATGGTGAAGATCTGATGAAGGCTGGGACCAAATGTTCTACCCTACCGCTTAGACTGTTAGAGTAATGATACGAGCGATGTTTCACGGGATGGCTTAGATTTAGGGATTGAGTGACATCCAAGGAGTTCTTAGGGATTGTGGCTGTCCAGATGCTCCCTCTCATGTTGGAATTCTACCCGGATGGTGATGGTATGTTTCATTTACCAAACACGTATCTTTTTAGACTGACTTTGGGAACATGGCATGAATATGGCAATCACCTCATATAAACTAAATCGACTTTTTTTTTTTTTGGGGGGGGGGGTAGAGCTTCACATAAGGAGCAAACACAGCTACCGCCCTCTTTATACCAACTAAATACCACACATATCAAAGAATGGTACTACATTGTACGGTATGTGGAATTTATGCTCTGTCTTGTTGCCGTCTTTAGAATGGTACTACATTGTACTGTATGTGGAATTTATGCTCTGTCTTGTTGCCGTCTTTAGAATGGTACTACATTGTACTGTATGTGGAATTTATGCTCTGTCTTGCTGCCGTCTTTCAAGAGATTATCGATTATTAAGACTATTCTATGATTTTCTGACTAGTGTGTGTGTAACAGTAAAGTAATATGTAACATTCTACTTTTTATTTTAAATACCCACTGAGTGTGTGGTGTGTGTGTGTGTGTGTAACAGTAAAGTAATATGTAACATTCTACTTTTTATTTTAACCACCCACTGAGTGTGTGGTGTGTGTGTGTGTGTGTAACAGTAAAGTAATATGTAACATTCTACTTTTTATTTTAAACACCCACTGAGTGTGTGGTGTGTGTGTGTGTGTGTTTTTGTTGTTGTTGCAAAGCCACATCGGACCGTCTGCTATTTCTACCGAAGGGAATCAAATCCCTGAGTTTAACGTTTTAAATCCGCAGACTTACCATTGTCCAACCAAGGGACTACCCACAGCTGTCGTAGTTGTACTTGTTAGTTCTTTTGTAAACTACAGTTTCAATTATTTTTTCGTGCATGCTTTTTTCTGTTTGTTCAGATAAATCTGATTCAATTATGAACTTATTTTTAATAACTGATTTAGAGTTCGCTGATTATTATATAATTGTTATATTGATAGTACATGTAAGCGTATTAGTAATGATTTTTAACTCTCCATATTAATATGCTAAAATGATTCTCAATATTACGCCTATTTTTAGTGATTACGATGTTAAATTTACACAGGCAGGAACTATTTAGATTCTGAAAGAGGAAAAAAGAAATGTCATTTTGTCTCATTGATACAAGTCATTTATTCCAATAAAATATTTAACACTTTAACATTATTTATTTATACTTGAAGTTTAAATGTACAATGAAGTCAAACTCTAAAGTGGAATAAAGAAACATAAAAGTGCCGGTGTATCAGCTTAATATTGTTTTATATATTAGGAATGTAGGGATGAAGAAATAAAAATCAAGGTTTTAAGATGAAAGACGTATATGAAATACTTATTGGTATGTACACATTGAAGAAGGTAGATTTAGAAGTAACAAATGATTATCATGTGTTCCCGTTTACTGTAAAAATGTTGTTTCCACTAGAAACTACAGTCGGTAGACCTTGGTCAACTGTTTGTAATGCTGCAATATCAACCAGAGGCAGACAGGCTAAAAGTTATGGTTCGGAAAGCGGAAAACTTGAAACGACCAAGCGGTGTATCTATTGGACTATCAGGTAAAGCACGTAAAAAAAATTCAAATATAGTATACATATGCGATTACACATATTACGCATTGTAAATATATATATGATAATTAAATGAATAAAATAAGACCAAATAAAAAACAAAATTAAATTAAGGATGCAAATATGTTCTTAATATTATTTTTATATTTTCGGGGGTTTGTTTTGTTTATTTAAATGTCATTTATCACAGGATTGGATTTGCTATTTTAACGCAGTCTTTTCTTTTGATTTTATTTTGCTTGACTGTTTAAGTGTTAATTTTCTATACACACATATATATGTATATGCAATAATTACATTCTGCTATAGTAAATATTTTTTGTAATAATGCATTTTAAAGTTATATAAACTGCTCTTTTCCGAGCAACAGATGAATAGAAACGTCAATTAAAGATTTTTCTGACGACGTGAGAATTTTATAGTAATTTTATGTAGTAGCATTTTATCGCGTCATTTATGCATTGGAGAGTTTTAACTTAACGCGTTATTTTGCAGTATTAATATATTTGTTAAGGTTTACTTATTGTTGTAACTATGTTCCTGAAAATTCATGTCATTTTAATTCTAGATAAATACACAATATTCTGTAAAATAACGTAAGATGAAGTTAAGATCCATTATTATGGAAATAAGCTGTGTGTATGTATGTCTTTCACAAGTGAAAGTTGGACTGGAGACGAAATGTGAACGTGTTGAAAGTTGTACCATTTTAATGGATTTTGTTACGTATTACAATTTCGAATGGTCTGAAACCGAGCTAAATGATAATATAAATTTAGTAGTTAAATATATGCCGATATATCTCCAATTTATGATATTTGCCAACAAGATTGATACACAGTTTTTTAACACAAATATGTTTTAACATACAAACAACAATACAATTTACAATAACAGTTATTACAAACAATGATTTATATAAAAATAGTTTACAAACTTATAAGCAATATAAAATCTTTTTTCTAGTCTGGAACTTCCTTGATGTCTTATCTAGGGTTCACGATGAGTGAGTTAATTTGGAGTTGATGTAAATACAATTCACTTAATAGGGAGCTAGCTAGCTCTGTGAAATTCATTGATCACACGCCGATTTTTCTTCCCGGTGACGTTAGGTAATGTTTTCGTAAAAGTACTAATGTCCGATGTGAATTCCGCTGAAGTTAAATGATTTGTGATGTTCGAAATTTATAAACGTTTCTGGTCAATATATCTAAACCCAATTAATAAGCGTTAATTACAGTTATAGCTTACGAAGTTTATAGCACACCAATTATAGCAACCCAATAATAAATATTACCTTTTTGGCGCGTTGCATTGGTTATATTTATAGGCGTGTGGAGAGTTGCTCGAAATTTCACTTTTACGTAACAATACTGACGCTAACACTAGCGTTAAT